CAAAAAATTAGACAACATTAAGGATTTATAAGTCCAAGGCCCAGGATTTTGTTTGTTTTTTAATAGGGCTGTCAAGCGATTAAAATATATAATCATGATTAATCATGCGATTAAAAAAAAATTTAATTACGATTAATCACGCAATTAATCACATGAACCTCCTCTTTGAAACATCGCGGCGGTGTTTCAATGGGGCAGTGCGGCATGGATCCCAGGATCAGCCACGAGGGTGCATCAAAGGGGCAGCGCAACACGGACCCCAGGATCAGCTGGAGTCCCCATCTGATCCCTGGCTCCACGATGTGCTGCTCCTTTGAAGTGTCGGAGTGGCTCTTCAAAGGGGCAGCACAACGCGGAGCCGGGGATCAGCTGGGCACTCCAGCTGATCCCCAGTAGGGAAGTTAAAGACTAGTCGACTATATGACAAGCAAATGCTTATTGGATAATTAGTCGACTAGTGGACTAGTCGATTTCTCCCCTCTCCCCCACCTCCTTTGCTGCCTCTATTAAATAGAGGCAGCAAAAGGGGGGAGGAGTATTTCAAAGTGGCAGTGCCGCACAGCTGTGCAGCGCTGCCACTTTGAAACCCCAAGGTGGTGTTTCAAAGGGGCAGCTGTGGAGCCCAGGATCAGCTGGGGACTCCCCAGCTGATCCTGGCATCTGCACGGCATTTCCCCAGAACCTGGGGTCAGCTGGGAGCTCCCAGCTTATCCTAGGCTCCACACAGCAGTGGAAGCCAGGTCAGCTGGGGGCTCCCCAGCTGACCCCAGGTTCTGTGGAAATGCTGTGCAGAGCTCGGGATCAGCTGGGGAGTTCCCAGCTGAACCTGGGGTCCACAGCAGCCCCTTTAAAATGCCGCCTCTGGTGTTTTAAAGGGTCAGCTGCCATGGAGACTGGGGTCAGCTAGGGACTGCCCAGCTGATCTTGGGCTCTGCACAGCAATGGAACCCAGGGTCAACTGGGGACTCCCCAGCTGATCCTGGGTTCTGGGGAAATGCCGCACGGAGCCTGGGTTCAGCTGGTGATTCCCCAGCTAATCCCAGGCTCCACTGCCCCTTTGAAAGATGTGGAGGTGGTGTTTCTAAGGGACGGCCGCTGCACAGGCTCAGCTGTGAGGCGGCTGCCCCTTTGAAACATCACCTCTGCGCATTTCAAAGGGGCAATGGAGCTGGGGAGTCCCCAACTGATCCCGGGCTCCACGCTGTGCTGCCCCTTTGAAGTGCCGCAGTAGCACTTCAAAGGGGCAGAGTAGCATTAACACAAATTTAACATGTTAATCCTGGACTGCGTTAATCACATATCAATTGACAGCCCTAGTTTTTAAGCTTTTTCTATGGGTCTTGAGAGCCCTGAAAGCTGGAATTTCACCTCGTTGAGCCCATTTTGTAGCTTTCCCTAATTCATGGTGGATTAGCATCTCATGGCATTTACATATAACTACAGGTCATCTAGAGATAGTACTAAGAATAAAACCAAAAAACTAGTGTGAATGAATAAAGAAGTGCAAAAAGCAAGCAGGGGTAAATAATAGATGAGATATTTTATATGTCACATGACCTGTTGTCTCTCTTTTTATAGTTAAGATGGTAAGTTCTGTGCAGCAGAGACAGGATGTTTGTTTTATGTGTTTACAATACCTAATATAATGCTTCCAATGCTAATACAATACAAATAACAATCAACTTGTTGATAAGGTGTGAAGGATATTTATAATGATTAGAGAATGAAGTGAGATGATGTAAAAATAAGTTAAGAAAATGAATGACGGGATCCATGGTATAAATTCTTACAAGAGTATATTATGTTTGTTTGTACTGTTGTCACTTGTTTTCCATTGCTATATCATTCAAAGGGTTCTATCTTGTGTAAACATTTTGAAAGTCAATATTAAAAACCAAGAACTGGAGAATAGAACCCAAACTGCACAGGAAGTTAAGATAAATAATACAAAATGCAAGTACATTAGGACTAAGAGATACATGAGGGAGACTTTTGGGCACCTGAAAGGATGACTGGTATAATTAATTGACAGAAGAAGCTAAAAAGAGAGAATTTTCTGCCTCTGTGTTCTCAGTGGAAGATGAATGCATAAATTTCCCGAGGCAAAAAATCAGGATCTTGTAAAAAATAATGGTCAAGAAATTAAAGATTGAAGATTGATAGACAAATACAGGAACTTATACTGGAAACATTAATCAGGGACAGATAGCAAATATATGTAGAGATCTAAGTTTTGATTAGTACTAGACAGGTATAGTTCAATAACAGGAGAACAAAATAGATTTTATTGAAGAAGTTATGAAGTGAGTTGGTAAAGCCATGGATATTATCTACTGTACCACTGGAAAGCCTCTGATATAGTAATGGCAAAACAACTTCTCTGTTCAGTAAGTAGATACAGTATTCTTTAACTGGATAACAAAGACAGAAGGAACTCATGATTGCAAAAAGTTTTGGATGAAGGAAGGTGACTTGCTGAGTGCAGCAAGAATCAATGTTAGAATAGGTTTGGTATACTTTCAAGGGTGGCCCGTCCATATAGGTGAACTAGGCAGTCGCCTAGGGTGCCAAGTTAAATGGGGCGCTAAATGGTGGTGCAATATCATTGAGGGGTTTGGAGGTGGGGGCGCCGATTGCATGGTTCGCCTAGGGCACCAGTTGCTGGCAGCTAGTCTAGAGCCGCCCCTGTATACTTTACCTGCAAATAGCAGAAGTAACAATGTAATGAAATTTCCTGATGACAGAAAAGGCAATTCCAATACAATACAAACTCCTCAGGACTGGAGTTGGGGGCCAGATCCTTGATTCCACTAGTGCCCATCTGTACTGCCCCAGTATTTCAAAAGGGTTATAAAACCAGCATGACTAAGGATCCTCCAAGGTTAAGGAGAATCTCTAGGGGATGTAGACATGGTGTAATGGCTCTATTCCTCATTATTCCCCCCCTTAGCACAAGGGTATGGTTGGGAAAAAGGGAGCATGGCCAGAGCATTCTTCACTCTGGCAATTCCCAGCTGCCGGAACAGCCCCTTCAGTCAGGATATTGCCACACTGCAGCTGGAAATGTGTCTTCCAACCTGAGTAGCCAGACATGTGCTAGCTCTGCTTGAGCTAGTGTGCTGGAAACAGCAGTGTTGCCATTGTGGCTCAGGCAGCGGCCCAGGCTAACCACCCAAGTACAAGCCTGCCCATTCCCCTGAGTCTGAGCTTGGAACCATAGGCAGCTGGGCCCAACTTAGAGAGCTTTTAAGCTGCTTTAAGTGGCACTAAGGGGCAAAATAACCCCTGTCCAGCTCCAAACTGGGGAGCTGTAAAATTGATATTACACCATTTTGTGCACTTCCACCCTTCTCCCTGTCATTTGCTGAGCACCGTTCAGCTAGATCTGAGTATTGGGGCCCAGGGTGTTTCCAGTGGCAAGAAGCTCGCTGTGAACATGCTGCCGTTGGTATTCTACCTGAGCAGGAATTTGATGGGTCTCAAAGCACATTGTGGAACATAGCTTTTTGGCCAGAAATGTGAATGAATTTGGAGTAATATTATGGAAAGGTTTTTTTGCCCTCTGGCACATTGCACTGCTTTATAGAGGTTGACAAGAATTGTTACGACATGTAAGCAGCATTGGTTGATGTTGTGTTTTTTATATCTGTAATGCGTATATTATGGCTTCCGAGCACAAGATCTGTTACATAACAGGACTTTTATGCCAGCCCAACTCTAGCTGCAGGTCCTGATGGCAGACATCCCACCAGTACAGAGGGTGCAGCAGTGCAAGCTTCCTATAAACCTCTTCCTAGTGAGGAGTCTAGAACCAGTCATCACAGCACAGAATTTCAGAAGCCCCAGGAAAAAGGGAAAGGTCACGTGGGAGATGTACTGGTTGGGCTCAACACATATTTTTAAGTGGGACTGACTGGATAGTAAAAGCCCACACCTCATTGTCTTGGGTGTTTTGCTTTGAGACATAATGAAAAAGAGGTGCTCTGACAACTATGTAAAGAGCGAGGAGAAAAAAGAGACCTAGATAATTAGGGCCCTACCAAATTTATGGTCCGTCTTGGTCAATTTCACCCTCCTAGGATTTTAAAAATCACAAATTGCATTATTACAGCTATTTAAATCTGAAATTTCATGATGGTGCAATTGTAGGAGTCATTGCCCAAAAAGGAATTGTGTCTGGGGTGTGGGGATTTCACAAGGCGATTGTAGGGAGGGTTGGGGTACTGCTGCCCTTACTTCTGCATTGATGCAAGTGGCAGCACTTCCTTCAGAGCTGAGCAGCTAGAAAGTAGCAGCTGTTGGCTGGGCGCGCAGCTCTGAAGGGAGAGCTGCCATCAGCATCAGAGCAGAAGTAAGGGTGCCATGGTTTGGTATTGCCACCCTTACTTCTGCAATGCTGTTGATGTGGTGCGGCCTTCAGAGCTGGGCACCTGCCCAACAGCTGCCACTTTCCCATCACCCAGTTCTGAAAGCAGCATTACCACCTGCAGGAGCACAGAAGTTAGGGTGGCAGTATCACAATGCCCCTAAAATAACCTTTAGACACCCCCGCTCTCCTCCGCAGCTGCACTTTTGGGTCAAAACCCACCAATTTGAGAAAAACTGGTCTTCCACATGACACTGTATATTATAGAGTAAAAGCACACACAAGACCAGATTTCACTAGGGAAGCCAGATTTCATGGGCCGTGACACTTTTTTGTGGCCAAGAAGCTGGTAGGGCCCTATAGATTTGGAAACACGTCTTGTAGAACTAGGATCCAATGAGGATTTAATGGGTTTAGAGAGGCAATGGGACTACACGTGAAACTAAGGATACATAAATATCTGGAGTGGTATACATTTTTTAAATCAGCAATGTTTCTGTCTCTGTCTGACATAGAAAAACTATTATAAGCATGCTTTTAGAGAGATTTATAAATGTTATTGGGAAGATGAAGCTATACAACACTTGCCAGTTCAGTGCTAACAATGCTAGACTCTCTTTTTTTTCCTCTACAGAAACTCTGAGTTGTCATCCTACATGGATACATGGCACAGAGTGAAGAACACATGGTACAAAGCCATTGACAGAAGCTGAAAATGAATGAAGATCACTGGTACTTGTACTTCTGACATTTTCCTCTCTTTTTTTCCCTGACTGATATGGGTGATGTGGTAGTCAGAAAGGAGCCTTAACAGCATCCTTACTGAAGCATTTGTTTTTGACTCCCATCATCACAAGTCTACAAACCATTAGAAGAAATGACCAGTCAACTCCCAGAAGATCCTGCTGAGCCCCAGGGCTTAGATGAGCTGGAGTGCAAGATCTGTTACAACCGCTATAACCTGAAACAGAGGAAACCCAAAGTGCTGGAGTGTTGTCACAGAGTATGTGCCAAATGCGTTTGCAAGATCATAGACTTTGGGGATTCTCCTCAGGGAGTCATAGTGTGCCCATTCTGTAGGTTTGAGACATGCCTACCTGATGATGAGGTTAATAGTCTTCCTGATGACAACAACATCCTTGTGAATTTGGCCTGTGGGGGAAAGGGGAAGAAGTGCCTACCAGATAATCCTACAGAACTGTTGCTAACTCCCAAAAGGTTGGCGTCTCTTGTTAGCCCTTCCCATGCTTCCTCCAACTGCCTTGTTATAACCATCATGGAAGTGCAGAGAGAGAGCCCCCAGATCCTGAACTCCACCCCGGTGGTGGAATTCTACAGACCCACAAGTTTTGACTCTGTTGCTACTGTACCCCATAACTGGACAGTGTGGAACTGTACATCCTTGCTCTTCCAGACCTCAATTCGAGTGCTAGTTTGGTTGCTAGGTTTGCTATACTTCAGTTCCTTGCCTTTAGGGATCTACTTACTGGTATCTAAGAAAGTCACCCTGGGGGTCGTCTTCGTCAGCCTTGTTCCTTCGAGCCTTGTTATTCTCATGGTTTATGGCTTTTGCCAGTGTGTATGCCATGAATTTCTGGACTGCATGTCTTCTTGATAACAAATACAGTGAAATAAGAAATAAGACACTGCCATGTTTCTGGCATAATTACTTCTCTCTATTTTTATTTATTTTTATTATTATTCATCACACTAAACAGAAGCAGTGGCCACAGTTTTATGGTCCATGTATTTAGTTTGTAAATTTTGCTTTGATATTCATTGTGCTTTGTTCTCCTTGTTCATTATACTAACCAATAGAAATACAATTTATATGTCAATTTTTAAAGGTTAAGCTATAGGGGGGAAAGCAAAATTGCCTGACCTGATGCTGCTGCCCTTATTCAGATAAGTAGCACTTATTTTCAACTGGGTTGGTCACATGAGTCAGAGCAGCAGGATCAGGATCTGGGAAGACATTGGAAGACTATTAGGCATATTAGGCAAAGCCCATATTATGTTCTGTTCTGTCACATGTGTTTTATCTGACAGTCTCTTGTTGTTTATCATAAGAACCAGACAAGATACTGTAAGTTCCACCAGTCTATAGCAGAAAACTTTGTGGGAGATAATTGGCTGCTGCCTTCCATTTCTCCACTTAAAAGACAGTAGCATCCTGGAGCGAGGAGAGGAAGGTATCTTCTTGTCTTAGTAGAAAAATTTCTTCTGTATGTTCCTCCACCCCGCCTCAAACTCCCACCATGTATGCACTTCTCCTTGTGTTTGCAGCTCCCCTTGAGACTCCAGCCTAAGACACGCCCTCATGAGCAGCTTGCTGAGATGTTCACACCTTACTGAGAGGCGCAACCCCTTTGGACTTCCCTTCATCGATTCCAAGTTCTCCTGTGAACTGCTCTAACCATGCTCCATTAATCCTTCGCCCACAGGTGGAATGTGCATTTCCACCTCTAAAACATTTTAAGCCCATGAGTCTCCCCAGTAAGACACCTGATAAACATTATGGATTCTCAGCTTCTGATAGATACACAAGAGAACCCCTCTTAATTTCTTTAGCTACAAGACAGACCTTCTTTCTCTTCCATTGAGAGACCTGCCATCTAATTTATAAATGATTCAAATGCAAGAACAAGGATTGATATGTGTATCTGCTTTCTGGTTCCCAAACTCACAGTATGAATACTGTCAGGGTATGTCTACACTACAAAGTTAGTTCGAACTAACTTAGTTCGAATTAGTTAATTCGAACTAAGCTAGTTCGAACTAACGCGTCTAGAACTAAAAACTAGTTCGAACTAGCGTTTTGCTAGTTCGAACTAGCAAGTCCACATTGAGTGGACTCTGAACAGGGCTTAAGGATGGCCGGAAGCAGTGCCGGCAGGGCATAAAAGGAGGACTTAGAGCATGGAGATGCTGTCTCAGGCTAGCCGAGGGCTGCGCTTAAAGGGTCCCGACCCCCACCCCGGACACACAGTTCTAAGGGGTGCCCCGCTTGCAAAGAAGTTCTGGCTTGGAGTGCCCTGAGTGCCCACACTGGGCACATCACACCACTCGGCCATCAGCCCGGCTGCACTTGCCGCAGGCTGCCATCTGGGGAGAGGGAGTAATTGGGGGGCTGCAGGAGAGCTTCCACCCCCAGAAGCCCGCAGAGCCAGCCCAGTCCTCCCCATCGGGGGCTCGTACCCCATTCCTCCCTCACCTCCTTCCACTTACCCTTCCCTAGCCCCCCTTCTTATTGATGTACAAAATAAAGATAACGTTTCTTCCAACATTGACTCTGTCTTTATTGAAAAAAAACTGGGGGAGACTGGGAAAAGGAGGTGGGAGAGGGGAAGAGAAAGGCTGGGAGAGGGGAGGGCAACTAACATGATCAGGGGTTGGGAACAGGTCCCAGATGAAGAAAGGCTACAGAGACTGGGACTGTTCAGCTTAGAAAAGAGGAGACGGAGGGGGGACAGGATAGAGGTCTCTAAAAGCAGGGGTTGGGTGGAGAGGGTGCATTCAGAAAAGTTCTTCCTGAGTTCCCATAAAGAAGGACTAGAGGACACCAAAGGAAAGGAATGGGTAGCAGGCTTGAAACTAGTAAGAGAAAGTTGTTCTTCTTGACAAAGCAAATAGTTAACCTGTGGAACTCCTTGCTGCAGGAGGCTGTGAAGGCTACAACTAGAACAGAGTTTAAAGGGAAGTGAGATCAAGTCATGGAGGTTGGGTCCATGGAGTCCTATTAGCCAGAGGGTAGGAGTGGTGTCCCTGCCCAAAGTTTGTGGAAGGCTGGAGAGGGATGGCACGAGACAAATGGCTTGGTCATTGTCTTCGGTCCATCCCCTCCAGGGTCCCTAGGGTTGGCCGCTGTTGGCAGACAGGCTACTGGGCTAGATGGACCTTTGGTCTGACCCAGGACGGCCATTGTAAGCTCAGGGCTCAGGGTCGGGGGTCTCAGTGGACCCCCTTGATTTTCATGCACACCTGGTCCTGGGTGGCCAGGCTGGCAGCTCTCCTGCCCTAGACGGCCACTTTCCTGTGCCTAGTGCAGAGATCGTGGACAAGGTCCATTATGTCTGCACTAGCCCAGGAAGGTGCCCACTTCTTGCGGTCCTGGGCAAGCTCCCGGGAGCCGCCAGCCTGGGCCTGGGGAGAGGGCTGTGCCGTGCCAGGTGCAGGGTCTGCTAGCTGGGTGCTGGCAGGCTTGCACCTGGCACGGGCACCGTAGCCAGCCCGTGCCCCTTTAAGGGGTCCGGGGCCGGGAGGGGGGCATAGAGTTTCCCTGGTGTTGGCCAGAGTGGCCACCAGGGAAACCTGGGAAGCCTTAGCCTCCCACTAGTTCGAACTAAAGGGCTACACAGCCCTTAGTTCGAACTAGCTAGTTCGAACTAGGCGTTAGTCCTCGTAAAATGAGGTTTACCTAGTTCGAACTAAGCGCTCCGCTAGTTCGATTCAAATTCGAACTAGCGGAGCGCTAGTGTAGCGCATAGGAAAGTTAGTTCGAACTAACGTCCGTTAGTTCGAACTAACTTTCTAGTGTAGACATACCCTCAGAAAATCCTGTGGGCCTGATAAATAATTTCATTTAGAGCTCAATCCTTCAAAATGCTGAGCTTCCAATGATTTCACATAAAGTTGACTGCAATCTGGAACGCAAAGTCTCAGGCTCTGCCACGCACTGGAACTCCATTACCTTTGGTAGTTACAAATAATTTACCAGCATAACTGCAAACCCAATCAGGCCCTATAATATTGGGTTGGTTTTTCAAACTCATGGAAGGTCATAAAAATAAAAAAGAATGGTTAATGTTCAAGTGTATAAATAATGCTAGATGAGAATATATCTAAGGCTCTGTTCCCCTATGCACAGCAGAGCCAAAAATGAAAAGAAGATATATATCAGTACAAGCATAGTTTTGAGATTACATGCAAGGTTAGTGCAGTATAAAGGGGAAAGATGCAAGTAATGCAAAGCCCGAATGCACTGCCTAACAAGGGTCTCAAAGCAAATCCATATAATGCAAGATGGAGATAGAACAAAGAAAGCATAAAGTGGATTTGTTGCCACCCTAGGTGATTTGAAATTGGATTAGCCCAGTTTGTGAAGAAGGTTCAAATCACTTCTACCATTACATTCCTATTAAAGACAGAAAAAGGTGACAATTTTACCACTTTTCTTCATCCCAAGGAAGTGTATAATACATATGTACAAGAAGAAAAATGTAGCAGAGTATAGTTTTCAAATATATGAGATTACAGAGCGATGTACTCAATGGTTAAAGGAAATGTTTTAGTCTTTTCAGTAATCCATTGCTAATAATTAGCATTAAAATATTTTCATACTTCTTAGAAAGGGATATTACTAAGTTACTACTTTTAATGCTTGTGGTAAAGCATGTGTAGTCAGATGAGCTGGCATCTTCAGCATAGGTAAATCACATGGTATAAGTAATCCATAAACTTCAGAATCCAAACAGAGAAAATGTGAGAAATGTGCAACCCCTGACCCCCCAAAAAAGAATATGTTTTTTAGAATATACATAATGTTTGGAAAATGTGTGTGTCTGTGTCAGGGATTTACATATTTATAAGAGTTTCTGTTCAATTTGTCTGAGTGTAATATTTCTAATAAATAGATGGCTGACTCAGGAAGAAATTTCTGCAGATGTGTGCCATGTATGTATGTATTACTATACAAGGTTTTTGCTGTGCTATCTTGTGTCTTTCCCTGTCTTTTATTTTTAAATGTTTTAATGTTACTCTTGAGTTATCTTAGCTCCAGCACCATATTTTATTATTTGGGTTTAAAGCATAACTTAATATAAAATGGAAGATGACAATACCTTTTGCTTACTGCTCTACAAGTAACAAAAAATACACTGACTGTAATATTGCAAACAGTGACAAAGAGTATGGCATGGCAATTAAATTGTATTTCTGACGAATCTACAGGTTTGATTTCTCTGACATCCAATTAAAGGTACAGTAATATCCTAGATCACTCTTTAATATTAGGCTACTCAAAAAAGTGTGAATACAGGCAGTCCCCGGGTTACGTACAAGATAGGGACTGTAGGTTTGTTCTTAAGTTGAATTTGTATGTAATTCGGAACTGGCGTCCAGATTCAGCCGCTGTTGAAACTGACCAGCAGCTGACTACAGGAAGCCGGAAGCAGAGCAGCTCTGCCCCGGGCTTCCTGGAATCAGCCGCTTTAGCGCCGCACCTCGGCACTACTGGTCCAACCCGGCAGCAACCCAGCTGCTCTACCCCAGGTGTTCCCAAGTCAGCAACTGCTGAAACTGACCAGCGGCTGACTACAGGAAGCCCGAGGCAGAGCAGCTCTGCCTCGGGCTTCCTGTAGTCAGCGCTGGTCAGTTTCAGCCGCAGCTGACTTGGGGACA